AAGGCATTATTACCTTAGCTTTCGTTTGTCTATCTTCTACCTAAATTAGTTGTTCTTCTTGCCCGACCACATTTCAATGATCTCTACCTTGTTTAATTCACTCGACATCCTAGGGAGCACGCAAATTAGCGACAAGGGTGTTTGAACAAAGACAAAGGGTATGAGCACCATCCAGGTGGCGTGGTGTTACTTGTGCTACCTCGACGGTCAAGTGGGTGGGCATTTTGTTGTTCCGTCACAACAAACCGTCCGCTTACAAGCAGTCATAAGAGTCTGCAGTGCTTACCAATGTGTGGGCAGGGAGGAGCACGCAGTGTTGTGTGTAGTGCATGATGGACAATGGGCTCAAATGATCGTGCGTATATTTCGGCCACCAGAAAACAAACCAACTTTTAGGGCTGTGGATTGTCAAATAGGCAGCTATGCTGCCATGACCAGGAATGCTCTTTTCCGAACCATGCCTACAGCCCAATCTTCCTGCCCTTTCATGTGTTGCACTTGGGTACTCTGCCTTCTCTCTTATCTACAACAAAGTATAAGGACGCTGTAGAGGGAGGAACTTAGCCACATTCGTGGACAATGTGGTGCCAATTAATCCTGCTCTTCATCTCTTCCAACATCCCTTTGTCAGTGCATGAAGCGTGCTTCGATTTAGATCTTCCAGCATCATTTTAAATACTGAAAGGTCATGTAGTACCATCCTGAGGCACATCGATTTGCGGTAGATCAAAGGACGTTGAACAGGCAGTTTTGAGCCATTGGAAATCCTGCAGATACAAAACCACTTTGGTCATGTCGCTACCATGAGATGGAAATGAACAAGTCAGGCTGTCGCACAATTCATCGATCGGTTTGGTGTTGTGACGGGTTGCGGCCATTGGATGAGCAATCTTCTTCCAATGCAAGAACACTTAGGAAGCCTGACCCTCCCTCCCTAAACTCCCTTACCTCCACCTTTCCTCCCCTGAGGCAAAGTTGGCATGAAACAAACATCTTTGGAGGGACAAGCACACACATATAAGTCCTAACGTTTCGATTAACAGCAGCCATTGCCATTTGTCTATGATATTCGTTAAGATGGAAGAGTGACTGGTTGTTTCAAATCCAGGTAATCCAATTGAGCTTAAGGAAGGTGTAGAGAAAAGGAAACAGGCTCATCCTCATATTCCAGTGACTGTTTTATGGTTAAGTGCACGTCATTTCCTTTTGCACATTTCTATTGGAATCCAAAGGTGGGAGAAGAGGAGGGTTACGTGGCACAGGCAGGAGAAAGTAGAAGGGCAATGCCTAGTGCGAATTGAAGGGAAGAAAGGGCAGAGTGGTGTGGTGAAACGTTCATAGGTTCACATAAGAGAATGTGAAAAACAGCAAGCAGCGCCAATTTCTGAATCTAAATGCCAAACTGTAGTGCCTAAGACTGTGGTGAAGTCCGTCAACCCTCCCGAAACGCGTCAAGTTACCTTCACCGCCCCACATCTACACCCACCAACCCCCATCCTATCACCCTCTGCAACAGTGCAAATACTAGTCAGTCAAAAAGGAAGTTGCCCGAAAATAAGCAATGTGGACGGAGGTGACCAACTCAATTACTTGCCCACACAAACAAACAAGCATTCAATCAATCACTCAACCAATCTATCAGTGTGTCAGTCAAACGGTCAATGCACTGGTAGTTGGGTGATACAGAGGAGTTGGAGATGAGTCGGTGAGCATGGGATTGAGGAAAGTGATGACAACGACAGCAGACGAGACACAGCTACTTGATCCACCAAATGAAGAAGAGGAGGAGGAATAATGTGCGGGAGCCACATTCATTCCCCTCTCCACATTGTCAACTCCTGTAGCATCGTCGCCTGTTCGCTTTACACCAGTGCTGTCACCGTAATTAGCTCAAATAAAAACAATGCCAACAATGACAGACGGAAAGCAGAACTCAGCCTGAAGTGTATGAAGTATTATCGTGCCACCTTCTCAGTTACGTCTGACCACATTATCGCCATCGCCATCGCCACTGACACCGACACCGCCACCGCTGCCTTTGTCTCCGCCATCACAATGTGCTAACTGATGACGAAACTCCTGCCGTCCACCCTCCGTCACAGTGTATATGCGAAGCCTCAATGACAGTGGACGGACAGATGAATAAGCGCCATTGTAACTGCGACGAAAACCAAGGGGAGAAAGGGCTTACCCACCGACTTCTTCCCTACTATCGTGAGAGACGACTGTGTTGACGTCAGCCGAAATAACGAATGCAGAATGGAAGATTGAGAGGAGGCAATGGTCGAGTCTGACATGGAGACAGAGCGAAGGGAAGATGTACAGATCGCTTATTGAGGGAGACACTCG